GCTCAGCTCAGGAGGCACCACAGGTCCGCTTCCTCCATTAGTGCCAAGTGACAGCCTACTGTCAGCCACACCTGGCAATCACCCAAGTGCAAGTACAGGCACCCGTACTGGTAGTGCTAGTGGTGAGCATGATGCAGGTACTGCAGCCACCCCTCCAGTAGCCACTACAGTCAGCAGTAGCACCGGTCTTGGCTCAAGGAGTGCCAGCAGGGCTGTTACAACTCTGCCCCTGCTTGCTTCATCTGCAGTATCTGCTCCGTTATCCAGCGGCACAACCGGAACTGCTGGAAAACCCAGTTCTACGGCCACCACATCTCAAGTTGGGGGGAATGGTGACAAGAAGGCAGTGCATTTCAGCCAGTCAACGACGCAATCAGCAGCAACCCCGATGACCATGTCCAGCACCCAGTCGCGGGGTACAACACCACCCGGATCATCTATTCACGATCTGAGGCCTACCGCCAGCAGTTTTACGCCAGGCCGTATGGCCGCTGCAACAGCTCCACCAAGGATGCCAGCCGTCCACCCTGGAGTCACTTCCAACCAGCCGTCAGCCGGACGCCACAGCATGAATAACCCAGCTGCAGCCTCGCTATCAGCAGCCTCCCGCACCACGCATCAGCCTGCTCCATGGGCCCACATGCAGAGGATTGCCATCCCTGTATTCGAGGGCGAGAAACGGCACTTTCATTCGTGGTGGGCGGCATTCTCATCGTGCGTTGACGTCGCACCTGTCACGGTCGAGTCCAAGATGCTGAGACTCCGGCAGTATCTCAAAGGTGAGCCGCTAAAAGCGATTGACAGCTTTGGCTATTCGGCGGCGGCCTATGAAGCAGCAAAGGCGTTGCTTCAGCGCAAGTATGGTGGCGAGCGGCGTCGGGTGGCAATCCACCTCGAGGAGATTGACAGTATGAGGCAAGTGCGTTATGGCAAGGCAAAAGAGCTGGAACAGTTCGCTGACTTGTTGTCAGTAGCCGTGGTGAACCTCGAGGATGCCGGGAGGAGTGCGGAGCTGGGGGCGGGCACGTTCTACTACATGCTGCTCCGAAAGCTCGATGAGCGAATTGTTGCACGATATCATCGCTGGCGGTACGATCACACATCAGCCGAATCTGTAGAGGGATTGCTAGAGTTCTGCCTACTGGAAGCGGAATTCTTGGTGACTGCGTCAGAGACAATTACTGGGTTTGGTACGAGCGCCAGCAGCAAAACCGACCAATCCCGCGTTATCAGGGACCATCGACAAGACAAGCCGAGGACACTGGTGACTACCAGCCAGCCGACATCTACCTGTACGGTCTGCCACGGTGCACATAAGACATGGCGGTGCCTGACATTCAAGTCGGCGAACCCCAACAAACGGTGGAAAATCGCAAAGGAGAAGAACTTGTGCTTCCGTTGCCTGGAGACAGGGCACAGCAGCAGCGCCTGCTCATGGGGGCAGCCGTGTGGTATCAGCGGGTGCACCAAGGCACACCATCGTCTGTTGCATGGTACACAGACGCCAGCATCTCAGGCCCAGACGTCACCTACAAGGCCATTCAACGTTCAGCCGCACTTTGCTCAGAAGCCAGCAACAAGTGACGCCGGCGCCACTGGAACAACTCTGTCTACATCGCGAGCAGGGAAAGCCGTAGCTATGCGGACCGTGCCAGTTGTCGTGAGAAATGGCGAGACTGAGCTCCGGGTGAATGCGCTTCTCGACGATGCGAGCACTAACTCGTACGTCAGCTCCCATGTGGCCAATGAACTTGGGCTTACTGGCGAAGAGGAGACATTGACGGTCAAAGTCCTAAGCGGACGCACAGAGATCTTCCGAACGACACCAGTCATGGTGGAGCTCAAGAGCGTCGACGGTACATCAGCTACCACACTACAAGCGTACACTGCTGACTCAGTAGTCGGAAGCAGCAGTGCCGTCAATTGGCAACAGAATCGACAGCAATGGCCACACCTCATGGCGGTCCCGTTTCCGAAACTGCAAACCCGCCGGAAGATCGACATTTTGATTGGCCTGGACTGCGCAGAGTTACACACGTCATTGCAGGAGGTCCAAGGCAACCCAGGCGAACCAGTTGCCCGACTCACACCATTGGGTTGGACATGCGTCGGCCCCGTTCACCGCACAGCGGAGTCAGATCCCGTCACACTGTTAACGGAAACGGCGCCACAGGATGTCCACGACAGCCTTGCGCAACTGTGGGTCATTGAGGAGTTCAACAAAATGCAGCCACAGCAACCCGTCTTGTCTTCTGAGGAAAGGGAGGCAGTTCGAGCAAGCCAGCAGTCGCTACAGCTGGTCGATGGACACTACGGAGTTGGTATACCGTGGCGTGGGGAGCGTCCCAATCTACCGGACAACTTTCCTGCGGCTGTGAAACGACTACGTAGCACCGAGAGGCGGCTCAGTCAAGACGCAGCGGCAGCGGCAGCCTAGGGCAAGATCATCCATGACTATGTCACAAAAGGCTATGTGCGAGAGGTCCTGGAGGAGGAACTGAGTCCTGGTCGGCAATGGTTTCTGCCGCACTTTGCGGTACTGCGACCTGACAAGGAGACAACGAAGACGCGCATCGTATTTGATGGCTCTGCGAAGTACGACGGCGTATCACTTAACGACATGATGCTGCCAGGCCCAAAGCTACAGCGTCAACTGCCGAGTGTGCTGACGCGCTTTCGCCAAAACCCAGATACGCCATCATCTGCGACATCGCAGAAATGTACCTGAGAGTCGGACTGTCGCCAGAAGATAGGCCGTATCACAGATTCCTGTGGCGAGACTTGGACGGCGCGGTGCCGCCACGGGTTTATGAGTTCCAGCGACTGGTTTTTGGTGCCAATGCATCACCCTTCCTGGCACAATTCGTATCGCAGGAGCACGCAAAAGCCCATGCGTCTCAGTTCCCACTAGCAGCCGAGACCATGTTATCATCAACATACATGGACGACTCCATGGACTCTGCGGCGGACGACGACGAGGGCATCATGATGTACCAACAGTTGATGGAGTGCTGGGCAGGAGCTGGAATGCACGCTCGCAAATGGCTGTCTAACTCCAAAGCCGTCATGGCCAGGGTTCCGAAGGAGGATCGAGCGAGCCAAATTGATCTCGACTGTCCGCAACTGCCTAGCGTCAAGACACTCGGACTGCTGTGGTCTGCGACATCGGACCTCTTCACGTTCAAGCCAACTGCACCAGATGCGAAGAAGGTCACCAAGCGTACATTCCTGAGCGCGATGGCCAGTGTGTTCGATCCGCTGGGTTTTGTGTCACCCTTCATCGCCAACGCGCGAATCCTGCTGCAGGATATGTGGCTGCAGGGGGTTGACTGGGATGACCCTCTCCCCGAGGAGCTCCACCGAAGGGCCTTGAGATGGTACGCGGAGCTAGACGAGCTGGCTCAGCTCGAAATTCCACGCTGTTTGCAAGACGTCAACGCAGGAAAACCCGTCAGCAGACAGATCCATGTGTTCGCCGACGCATCGGAAAGCGCCTACGGCGCAGTGAGCTATCTTCGCTGTGAATACCAAGATGGTCATGTATCAACCACGCTCATCGCCAGCAGGTCTCGCGTAGCTCCCATTACAGCCGTGTCAATTCCACGATTGGAGCTGTCTGCTGCCGTAATTGGGACGCAACTAGCTGCTTGGGCGTCGGACGTACTTGGCTTGCCTGTTCGTGATGCTGTCATCTGGACAGACAGTCTAAATGTCCTCCACTGGGTACGGAACCGCGCACGTACTTTCAAGCCATTTGTCGCAACACGCGTCGGAGAGATTCAGGAGCCGACGGGCGCGTGCGAGTCTGCAAAGTCAAAGTTCGCGGCAGTCCCTTGTGCGGCCGGTTACGCAGTTGTGCAAGCTTGTCGCTGAGTGATCGCAGGTGCTGAAAAGTCAGATGGTGGACTTCTGATACATGTGCATGCAGCGAGAAAACTGTACGAGAACTATGTATGACTGTTCTTGTAACCTGAAAGTGATGGACCATGACATATCGGTTTATTCTGGATTCCAACATAACATTACTCTGGTCACTGTTCTCTACAAGTGTAGTGTGCCCAGCAATATGCAGCTGATTCTTGATATAGTCTAGAGCAAATATTCCATATTACTAGGTTCTGTTTTTTTTACCTTTCTGTTTTTAGTTGATTAATCTGCGTTTAATCAAGGTAGGGGAGAAATTGTTCACAAGATCCAGTATGCATGTAGATAGTAGTGCTGTGGATGACCAACTGCTTAGTATTATGCATATCCAATGATTCATGTTCCCGCCAGATCCCGCTGTTTGGCACGTGTGAGTGCTTGTTTTCCCGCCAGATGCTGCTTTTGGCACGTGTATGTGCCGCGTTTGGGCACCGCACGGAGTAGGTTTGGTTCTGTTGTGTTTTGGTGCTGCCGTACTTTTCTTCAGGGCTTTTTCTTTGTTTTGTTACGTTTTTGATATCGTTCCATCAGGTTGAAGAAACAGAAGATTCAGTTGTCTCCCAAATCGCTCTCTTGGTCTTGTAACCAGAGAGTGAGAGAGAGAGAGAGAGAGAAAGAGAGAGAGAGAGAGAATGAGAGGGATAGACATCGTGAGGAACGAAGGAGGATATGTACCAGATAAGAAATCTATGGTGTCAGACTTCACAATTGCTGTGCAGTATAGCCTGATAAATTCTGCATACCGTATTATCTCTAATATAAGCACGGTCCTTTATTTTTTCAATGTACCTCCGCCCCGTGCTATTAATGGAGACGTTCCTTTATTGGAGACTGTTCCATTATTATTTCAACCTCATTTCAGAGGCATGTTGCCATGCCAAATTCATGTATGACACACACATTTCAGGGTTTTTTTCGCCGGACAGATAATGAATTTACACAGTGTGCTTATAATGGAGACTGAGCACTTTATTTTTTGAATGCCGCCCCAAGGTGTTCTATTATTGGAGACGTGCTATTATTGGAGACTGTGCTTATATTAGAGATAATACGGTTGTAGCCAGAGTTTTCGTTACCTGAATCGTATGCGCCCTGGCTTTGAACATCTGTAGCGGACTTTGCATCCATGCTCTGCTGCACAGATGTGATGCCGTCCTTGGCCGACTTGATCAAGCGTTGAAGTTGTGTAACAACACTACATGGCATGTACACACACACACACACACACACATACACACCACGTACACACACACACACACCAAGTACACACACACACACACACACACACATACACACACACACATACATGCACACAAATCCACACCCGCAGAAGAACACATACATACATGCCCACAGACACGTACGAGCAGACACACAAGCACATACAGGAACAGACACACACACATACATTGTACATACACACACACGCACACGCACACACACACACACATACACACATACACACATACACACACACACACCATGTACCATGTATACCATGTATATGCCCGTCGTAAGAGAAGCACGCAAATCTGCAAATGCACTGGATGTGCACCCACAGATTTTCTCTTATAGCAACGATAGCGAACAAAATCTGAATGAGACAGATCAAGACTTGCGCCAGATAACTGTCTAATCCGCACAACTGGCGAAGCACTGTGAATTATTATTCTTTATTTCCACGATGGCCCATGGCCAATAAGGAAGATAATATGATTCAAATCAGTCCAGAATCATATAAAATCAGTCTAGCAAGTAAGGAAACCAACACATTGCAGGGGGATGGGGTTACGATGGGGTACAGTGTGAGCTACTAGAGGAGCATATGGGTGATAGAATGAGGCTAGACGCCATTGATTTAAACGCATGCTTGCTATTTGTTTCACGCAGGTCGGGGGTAGTTGGTTGAAATTGTGAAGAGACAGGTTGATGGGTGAGTTGGTGTGTCGGTATGTGTGTGATGTTCTCAATGTGTATGTTCTCATGTGTCGTAGTGCATATGGCTGCTCTGTGATTGGTGGTGCAAGGTGAGGCTGTTGCAGGTGAAGGGGAGCGCGGATGTACTTGATGTTGTGGGCAAGAGTAACCTGTCGTAAGAGTTGCCGGGAGACCAATGTGGGAAGTTGGAGATGATGAAGAAGTGAGCTGTGATGGACTGGTGCAAAAAGGGGGATCCGCAAGCAGATACGGGCTGCTCCTCGCTGAACGCGATCTAATTGGTCCTTCTGAATCGACCACCAATGCACACCTGGTCTACACCACACGGAGTACATCGGCATACAACGGCCAAGACAGTTACCTATGCACACCCTACACTTGCTGCACATTGGATTGTGGAGCCGAAACTAGACCAACTTCCAAATGCTTTGGCAAGAAGGTAGCCTTACAACAGGTTGGGCGCACACACACACACGCACACAAACACACACACACACACACACAAACACACACACACACACACACACACACAAACACACACACACACACATACACACACAAACACACACACACACACACACAAACACACACACACACACACACACACACACAAACTGTAACGGTGTGAAACTAAAACCCTGCCATCGCCCAGTCTCTATTGCATGCCATCTGACTAACCGAAGAACGGTCAGGCTAGAATTTCACAATTTTTTAAGAACGGTGTATCCTGTATTTTTGGAGATAGGAACGGAAACCGTAATGTACACTATAATGTACACTCAGACGTATAACCCTGCAAAAATGTACATGTAAGACTGGTCCATCGAATAAGAATGAAACTGCTGTGTTAGCTAAAAATAAGAACGGGCTAGGCTTGACCCCCCCCCTCAGTTCTTTGGTGGCCGACAGTGCTGTACATGCAGAGAGTTTAGGACAGACAAAACCTACCAATCAGAACAAACCTGCATGTAACATAGGAGTCAGAACAAGAGGTTTTGCTGGAACTTGGATTCCAGCCTGTGAATCACCAACCTCACAGGGCTAATTGCTTACTCTGTAATATTAATAACTGACACTTCAAGAAACTGTCAATCTTACTCTGTGCCCGTACTTTAGAAATGTTGTTTGAATCGTGAATTGTATTGCATTCTGCCACACCAGTAGGTCATGCACTTCACTCACCCTACTTCCTCTGTGTCACTGGAAGACATTTCTAAGTCTGTGATGGCGGTGCCAAACTTGAGCTGTGCTGACGTCACTGCAGCCACAGTCATACGACGTAGGTGTTGCAGCCGTCCCACGTCTCTGTGAACCACATAGCAGAAGTGACAAGTAGCGTATTGAGCACTTGAGGTAGCACATGCATGTACTGCGGAATGATATGGAAAAGACTATCATTACCAGTTTTTAGCCAGTTTTTTTAGGGAAAGATGCAAAGGTGAATTTCTGAAGAAGAAAAAAATGGAGTGTCACCACTAAGACTGGAACCAGGGACCTTCGCTTATGGCATTATTGCAAACAATTCTGATATCTATCCATCCTCTTGAATGCAATTTAGCAGAAGTGTGGACGGTACAAATAAGTGTGCATAAACAAGAGTATGCAACTGTGCACTCAAACCCACCATTTATCGTACGATCCCTTCCGTTTTTGCTCGATTCGTTCGAGTACCAACGCGATTTCTAAACTTAAGCGCGTGAACTCCAGTTCCGTACGAAAGTTCATTTCAAACCAGAGGGAAAGTGCGGTGTTTGATTTTCCGCAGTGCGCGGACAGCAGCTGGATGATGTAATGAAGGCAGCGCGCCGCGCATCTGGCCCATAGAAAAGAGATCACAGTTGCATACTCTTGTTTACGTACTCTTGCTAGTACAACCAAGTACAGAACGCTAATTTCGAGAATTTGAATTTTGGGGTTAAAATCAACAAAAAAATATTTATCTCCAGTTTTTGAAAGGATTGGGAGAACGTCAAATTCAGAGGATCAGTCGGGGAAGTGAACTGCCTGGAAGGAGAAAAAATGCCAACCACACCAGGACTGAAACCCAGGACCTTGCTTGCCATGAGCAATGCTCTAACTGTCTGAGCTATGGGTCCAAGCCGAACCTCTAGAAGGCGCTGACAAGTTTTTCACTCACCACGCAGCTCACAACACGTACCACACAAACTGATGGCACTTGGGTCTTTTCCCTCCCCCAGGAAACAAACCACAGTCAGTTTCCGGAACGTACTAACAGAGATGAGAGATAGTGAGCAGATTGGAAGAACACCCTGGTCCCATAGCTCAGTGGTTAGAGCATTGTTCAAGACAAGCAAGGTCCCTTGTTCGAGTCCTGGTGGGATGGGCATTTTTATCTCCAGTCTATTTTCATTTTGACAAGGAGAAACATTGGTGCTATTGCGAAGGCAATAATATTTTGGTCAGTATGAGGCTAATGAAAGAGTGAATGCAAGTCAAAGCATTGTCCCCTCTCCCCCCCCCCCCCCCCCTCCCTCTCGCCCCCCCCCCCCCCCCCCCCCAGTACATATCCCCACCACACAGATGCCTGTTTTAAGTCACAAAATACTTCTGATGCAGCACACCTCACCTTTCAGTCCCAGCATCACCATCCTCACCATCGGAAGCACTTGCACATGCATCTGTTGCATTTGCAGTTAGTGCCAAACACATCAAGAAAAGGGAGATATCGGGAAGTGGCCGAAGCAGAAATGAGAAAGTTGAGCAATCGTGAAAACACCCTCACCGCACCATTAGCACAAAACAGCAACATCAATGCGCAAACAATTTACTTGACAGTACTCTTCAAAGTGATCAATTCTCACAAAGCCAGTTTTCAGCACCGGTACGTTTGCGTTTTCGGCATGAAATACACATTTTACACTGTCATTGCAAACGTATGTGTTCACTTCATGTGTTTGAGCACCCGAGGTAAAGATTAGTGCAGTGTATACTGGATGCTCTACAGCACAAAAACTGACTTTATGATCAGAGTAACATAGACCACAGTACCGTCGATCTCCGAGGAACTGGGGGGGTTTCCCTCCTAGCCTAGACTGTTCTTATTTCCATGCACTACGAGCTACGCACAGTTGAGTCACCGTGTATACATTGGTATTGGTGAGAACCCTCGGTAGTCTCAACCCGCACGCACAACACGCAACAAGTCTTGCAGTAGTAGTAAACACAATTCTTCACTTCTTCGCCACGAATCCAAAATGCTACAGCGAGAGAGAAAACTCACTGCTACACACACTCTTATTCTAAGACATCAGAAAGGTTTCGCAAGTAAAAGGTGCAAGTGTGAGGTGTACTGAGTGTGAGAAACCTAACAAGCGTGAAATGACTATGTAGTTGATAAAATAAAACCCTACACGAGTGATAACCTTATAAGGCATAGCGTACAGTTCGGCAAAACACAACATGAGCTGCAATCAGCGGATGTATCAAACTACTACTTTACTACCTTTGTGCCAAACCAACAAGCCTAGACTGCTATTATTCATGAAGTCGCACTAGTGCTACTGATCAGATATGCTGTGCTTGGTGAAATTCTGAGCTGTTCTTTCTTCGCAGCCCGATGGTACCGTATGGAAGGCCCTGGAGCTCGTGCCAGCGGTGCAGTTCTGCCAATCATCTGCATCTGTGTGTGTGTGTTTCCCGAGAAGTATTTCAAGTGTTATTGCGAAGTTTGTCTGCAGCGCGGATTTGGCATGAAGCATCCTAGGCTATAGATACAACGAAGGTTCGCGATGTTCGAACTTAGCCTGGGCTTATGTGTGGGTCTGATACTTGGCTGGGCTTGTGTGCGGGTCTGATACTCGGCTGGGCTTATGTGCGGGCCTGATACTTGGCTGGGATTGTGTGCGGATCTGATACTCGGCTGGGCTTATGTGTGGGCCTGATACTCGGCTGGGCTTATGTGTGGGCCTGATACTTGGCTGGGCTTGTGTGCGGGTCTGATACTCGGCTGGGATTATGTGCGGGCTTGATACTCGGCTGGGCTTATGTGCGGGTCTGATACTCGGCTGGGCTTGTGTGCGGGCCTGATACTCGGCTGGGCTTATGTGTGGGCCTGATACTCGGCTGGGCTTATGTGTGGGCCTGATACTCGGCTGGGCTTATGTGCGGGTCTGATACTCGGCTGGGCTTATGACAGTTATGTGCGGGCCTGATACTCGGCTGGCCTTATGTGTGAGCCTGATACTCGGCTGGGCCTTTGTGTGGGCCTGATACTCGGCTGGCCTTATGTGCGGGCATGATACTCGGCTGGCCTTATGTGCGGACCTGATACTCGGCTGGGCTTATGTGCGGGCCTGATACTCGGCTGGGCTTATGTGTGGGTCTGATACTCGGCTGGGCTTATGTGCGGGCCTGAAACTTGGCTGGGCTTATGTGTGGGTCTGATACTCGGCTGGGCTTATGTGCGGGTGTGATACTCGGCTGGGCTTATGTGCGGGTCTGATACTCAGCGGGGCTTATGTGTGGGTTTGATACTCGGCTGGGCTTGTGTGTGGGCCTGATACTCGGCTGGGCTTATGTGCGGGTCTGATACTCGGCTGGGCTTATGTGTGGGTCTGAAACTTGGCTGGGCTTATGTGCGGGTCTGATACTTGGCTGGGCTTATGATTGCTTTCTTGCTTCGACTTCTGCCGCACCTTTGTTCTCTTAACCCCCTTTATGTACAATTGTTGTGCAGACCCTCCTTTAATATAGTCTGTCTCATTTTGTCCTGAGATGTTTTATGCATAGTGATTATGACGCTCATCATTCGCTCCCTTGTCAATGGACAGTTCTGTCCGTTTGGTTTTAGCGAATTCAAATAAAGAAAACAACATGTGCAGGCCTGATACTCGGCTGGGCTTATGTGCGGGCCTGATACTCGGCTGGGCTTATGTGTGGGCCTGATACTCGGCTGGGCTTATGTGCGGGTCTGATACTCGGCTGGGCTTATCCGAGGGAATCGACGGTATTGACATAGGCTTAGCTGCATTGCAGTTTGTCATGTTTGGGACTGAAGGTAAATCCTCATCTCCCATAATCAATGCTAGAGCAATGCAGCTAAGCCTATGCCAGTACCGTAGAATCGCGAGCATAAGCCCATCTTCGCGTATAATGCTTGCGCATAAGCCCAGGCCAAGTTCGAACATCGGGAAGCTTCGTTGTACAAGCCGATGGCCTAGCACAAGGTCATACCATGTACGCAGTATTTATATTTTTTTGTGCATTTCAACACAATTATCGGTTGTTTTTGTTTACACAGTGATTTTCACCAATGTACTTCCCACTTCCTTGGTACTTTTCAATAGCACAATGTTGGAATCCGCGTATAAGCCCGTATTCGCGTATAAGCCCACTAGCAGCACCCCCGCCAGCGTTGCCTGGCCGAATGTGGCATGCGGGTGAAGCAAGTACGTGAACAGCACACGTGCTCAGCACGTGGTGGTGGCCAGACCGCTGAAGTCCTGGTGAGGGAGGTTCTTCATCGTTGGAAGGAGAAGGAGGGACGTCTGTTACGCCTTCGGGAGGCTGGTCAAGGTTGTCCATCACCTGGTGGCGGATAAAGCGGCTCAAAAAATTCATAAAACTTACGAACAAAAGTGCGATGCGCTCTTCACTGCAGATCAGATGCAGAGTGCAGTCAGTGCAGATCTTTTGTATCCTTTTGTTGCAGATGTTTCTATTTGCAGAGAACGGTTCACGTGGTCCGCAGCGCTTGTGCGGCTGCTAGTGCTACCTATGCCTAGGCTAGGTGGCTACATGATTCGCACGCTTCGCGTGCTCAGTGCTTCTGCGCACGGCTGCTACTGCTACTCGTACTGATCGTGTCTGATAGGATAAGTATAATCGCTACCACCGTACCTACACTGCACTGTTCGCACGCTTCGCGTGCTCGCGGCTTATACGCGGATTCCAACATGTTCTTGTGTAAGCTCACCGAAATGCCCTTGTGCAACAGATAAGCCCAGGGGGGTCTTATCCGCGGGATTCTACGCTACTCGTCAAAACATAACAATAATATTCTTTTCATGTTGCAGAGTATATATTGCTGGACAACTATACTATAGGTCAGCTGACTTAGAAACGCGTTCCAGTTGCTGATGTGTGCTGGCAGTATTACAACAAACACGCAAATCCATAAACAATTTCCGCACATTCCCACGTGTTACTACGTAAGGGACAGGTGAGATAGAGCGTTTGACAAGACTGGCAGCTACTTCAGTCCGTGCGCCAGACCCTGTTTTGGCCCGATTTTTATTTTCTGCGCGGGAACCATACATGCAGACGTTATGCAGGGAAAGATGACGACGCCGGTCAGTAAATTGTTGGCCGATTTGCTGCCTACCTCGAGGCCAGTCGGTGAAATGAGGGCTTCCTTCTTCAAGAAATATGTTGCCAGTCGTTAGTCGGATGCCACTCGTCTTCTAAACATCGTACTTGATGCAACCAGCGCAGTTGGATGGACGGGAGGCGAGGAATTTATCGTTTTCGATTTTCACCCTATTCTGGGTTGCCATTACATTGCAGCTGGCAGCACCACGAGGGAATTTTTTGCACAAGGGAGACTAGGTGAATTCAACTCCTCAGAGATATCGCCATGACAGGGTAAGGTTATTTTAGCCCTGAAATTGTGTACAAACCAACGGCACGAAATTATGGAAATATTTATTTTTTCGCGATAATTGCATGTTGGTTGAAAAATGTAGCCATCTTTGTATTGTGGCATCCTGGCGGTGTATTTCGTAACTATACTGCATGACAATATTATTTATGAGAAATGGCAGCGATTGCAGCGATTGTGAACAATGTACAATCAACAGCATTGGCAAAATTGATGCAGAGCTGTATGGTACTTTAGTACTATTTGCCTGTATATTGGTATTTTACACACAATGCATGAAACAGAAGAGCAAAATTATTATTGACTTATCAATTTATAGTTAGGACATGAATATGAAACCCATGACCAATGCCAATGACCCAGGGTCTGTGCACCTGCATTCAAATATATAAAAAAATCCCCTGTGGCATAATCATGTACTCTGTGCACACATACTTGGGGGGGCGATACTTGCTGCTTTACACGGTGGAAATTGTGGTGCTATGCTGCTTGGTATGTGTGTGCGTGCGTGTGTGTGTGTGTGTGTGTGTGTGTGTGTGTGTGTGTGTGTGTGTGTGTGTGTGTGTGTGTGTGCGTCTGTGTGTGCACACTTCACTTTCCGGCTGTGTATTGATGCCTATGTAGATATCACCATGATCAACAGGGTCAAACGCTTCCAGCGGACAACAGTGGATCACCTCATTTCTCCCACTGGAGTGGTCCTAGCTTGAAGTGATGTATGACTATCAATTCTATTGACTAGCCTTGAGGCATGTACCAAACGTCAGCATGTCTGTGATATCAATACATCACACTTACATTTGAAAGCTATATGCTGGAAGGCAGTCAAGTGGGCTTTTCGTCAAACACAACCCTACCAATGAAATGAAGGCAACGGGCAGAGACCACTAATGGTAGGGCCATACAAGGTGGCTGTGCCAGTGGGGAAGACCCAGCTCAACAAGGTGTTATTGCAAGTTTGATCGGAACAGCACCCTGGTCCAAATCCTCAATATCAGTGAATCTTACTGGTCCATGTGGCTGCTGCCTTGACTCGTGATGCCTACGATTGGATGCAAGCTGCACGAAGTATGTTGCAAAGAAGAGTACAATGGATCTTGAACTTAGCACGAGAGGCGTGCACTTCGTTGATAACAGCAGAACCTTTGCATGACTATCATAACACTCTCTTTATTGCAATATTTAGCCAATGCTCCATTTGTTGTAGCAGCTACCACACAACTACAAGTATGCATTCATTACCTGGCTGGCTTGTATAAACTTGTGAATGCAATCACGTGATGCTTTGTGCACATATGCTCCCATACTTTAGCGGATGTGCGCGTGTGTGTGTGCATGTTTATGGGTGTGTATGTTCGTGCACGTACGTACGTGTACATGTCTGTGCGTTTACATGTACATGCAGACGTGTGTGGGTTTGTTGAAAAAAGGGCATGAACACGTGTCAATTCACATGTGCATGTATGTACGGGTGTATGGTTAACGTATTCTTTGCTCCATGCGTCCGCTGTGAATGAAGGTACGAGACTTTATGTGTCATAGCTTGTGGCGGTTGTTCTGTAAATAGTAGCACCGTATCCTGGCCATCCGCAGATGCCATTTTTTAACTTCAATTCTGCATTGGCTCAGGTGCTGTGTTTGTAGTGTCATACTCTCTGCATTTAAAATTATTTATATTTCTTTCCCACCTCAGTACTGTATTTGGCTTGATATTGTTGCTGTTGTACATACAAGTATAGGCACATGCATTGATCTGCGAGGGTTTGTGTTTGGAGCTCCAGCAACCTGTTGGGGTTCGTGTTGTTTGTAAATTCGTGGTCTACGGATATAATGGTCTGGCTGGTACATCGCAGAATACTAGGACCCCTTGAACGATTCTGTCGGTCGTTCATAAGTCCACCAATTGAAGACATGTGTGTGTCAAAATGTGTCAAAAATACAGTGTTGACAAAACGGTTGGTATCACCGCTGTCGGATATTTTGCACAAGCCAAAATTGGAGGATACACTGTTGGCTAATATCTCTTTCTAATTAACTAAGCAGGAAATAGCGAAACCCTTGTACAAACCAACGGCACGAAATTATAGCATGTTCAACCAAAATATCGGCGACATAACGAAAACGCAAGCGACGAGCGAGAACTCAACTTCTCGTTATTTGTTATCGCCACGGACAAAACTTAGGGCAGAGAACAACTATTAGGTTGGATTTCGACAACGATCTGAGACGAAGAACTCACGGGAGACGTAAACCAAAGGACGACGAAGGTGACGCCATTGAGTATTCGTCTTGCGATATCTTGAGAAAACTGCGAAATCTGGCAAATCTGGAAAATAAAAGTGCAACTTTTAGACGACTTTTTCTGAACTGGCGCACGGACTGACTTTGCCTTACCCAAACAGCACACTGGGGAGAAAACGGCTGAGCACCTGCATAGCGCCACAATAGGCTGCCAGGATATTGCAGTCGACTCTTGACGAGTGTGACAAGATCCAACTCAGCGCCACAGCACATCGTACACACAGCTCAGGGCACTCAGATCATCTGGGATTTTTGCAGCACAAGATAAATCGATACCGCACCCCGTTCCAAGTACGTTTCTCGGAGGAGAACCATTGAGTTGCGTCGTTCGTGCGTTGAACATTCTAGCTACCCGCAGAGCTGTTAGAGTTTTGCAGGCTCCTGTTCCTACCTAGCTACATTCTGCTCTCGCTGAGATTCTACAGCCGAAAGTTAGTTTATCCCTCCAACTGCAGCTACGGCTGCCGGTTCACATGTCGTTACCGGTAATGGACCCACAAATACTTTGCAAAAATGTACGTCCACGTCGAGGCATCGGTACAGTCTACAGATAGAAAGAACAACCCAAGTAAAGATGTTTGTCATTTCGACGGAATGTGACTTTTTTGTCGCGCTAACGCTAGCGCTCGCATGAATCGATTTTTCATTCTGCCGAACTGGCAGGGAGACACCGGCAAGAATGCGGTAGCAAAACAGACCCCGGGACGCGTAACCGGTCCTTACCCGGCCATTGTTCTCCCCGACCCTGGTCCACAGCTACGGACTTCGATCATAATTTTAGTGAGGTTTTGCATTCCGAATTTCGGCAAAAAGATTCGGCACGCGTGAGCGAGGTCGAAAATGCACACGAAGATTCGGCGTGTTTGTTCGGAAAAAGCTCACTTTGCCGAAAATATTTTTCGGATGCATTTTCTTGTAGAAGAGCGCTAGCGCGTGATTTATTCCAAGAGGTTTCTTATCTCGGCATCACTTGGCAGGCGTCTTTGGCGACATAGCATCGTCAGCTACCTCTGATTGCTCCTCGCCACTGCCTGCATGTCTACTCTCTTTCGCCATGAGTGTCCTCACCGTCATCTGTGTGGCTGAAAAGACTATGGCGACACGCATAAAATTTGACTTGGCCATGGAGTTGGTTTTTCTGAGGCGACTGAGGAGGCAGGTTTGGCCCTCGACACTTTGGGCGATCAAAGTTCGTCGGAATCAGCAAGAAAAGGAGCACGGGAGAGGACGTTGCTGATGCTGGGGCTCACGAAATGAAAACACATCATTTTCGACTCGCAAAACAAACGTTGGTGCGAAAATTCGACATTTTGATGTTCGACAAATGACCGAAGAACGCTGTACCGAAATTCGGAATGCAAAACCTCACTACTACTACCATTATACTAGTAATGCTATTGTCAGATAATCAGTCGACAGACTCAGTGTAGCCCAGAATGCGCAACTTTTTTTATATCAATTTTTCGAATCACGTGGAGGGCCTACCCTTCCACTATACTGCCACTAGGCTTTCCCTTTCACCAGTGTTTATCCCGCTCCGGGGCCCACTGAAACTACATGTAGTCCTTGCTTGCAAGGGTGATCTGTGCGCTGCTGGTGCCACTCTAGGAGGTGCAGTTGAAGTCTGTGTGTGCGTTCGTTTCGTGTCTTTCCCATTCTGCGGAGATAGGATTGGCAAGCTTTGCTGGACGAGAATGCATCTGACCTCACCCGATTCGTGACCCGAAACGAGAGTCATTTCCAACACAAAGTGCTCTATGTCCGTGTGGAAGTCCATGTGCTGGGACTCAGCACCCTGTCCAGCTGGTCCAGCCGTGGCTTGACCTTGTTTCGAAAAGTCGACCCGCCCGTTGCAAGACTGGTTTATTTCATGCCTGTTTTCGGTGAAGTACCCCATTAGCCCGGTTCACCTGGAATCCCAGTGCTGCGATCCTGGTCTGTACACGTACTGTACCTCATTGCAAAGATTCGTTTTGGAGAACAACAACATGGCTGATGATATACACTATCACTATCAGACACCTGAGAAAATCGTACATGAGTTTGTATGAGGCACGACCAAAGAGACCAATAACTGTCACGGGACTCGAGTTTCGTGTTCAAAATCACTCATCAGACGAAGGAGTCGCTGCTGTTCTGCCTTGTGTAGTACGTTATGCCCTTATTAGGGTATTGAGCACTTTTACAATTTTGCAGCAGGACCCCTCAGACACTTTGCCTAGGTTAAAATGAGTGCGCAGAAGATACTCTCAGCCTGGACTGTAATCGTAGGGTCAGCAGATTGAGTATCGTTGTCAACGCTAGAATTGGGGCCGTAGATATTCTCAATATCACCTCACGCCATAGTTCTGTGTCCATGTCTTTTCTTGCCCCCCCCCCCCTTCCAAGGTGGAATATTGCCTTCCACCCACTGTCCTCTAGTATCGCTACACTTCATCATTGTCCACATTACGTCATGATATCTTACTCTGAGATCGGGTAGGGTGCCCCGTAAGAAGGCAAATTGTCTGTAATAATACCAGTACTCGTACGAAATTAATATGATGAGAGGGGAATTCCCCGAAACACTGTGTGTTGAGCAGGGAGTGGTGCTTTCTTTCAGGTTTGCCGAGTCGAAGGTTCGATGGACTTCTCGTGTGCTCTGGATGGTAGTCGTGAGTCAGTCAAGTGTCAAGTCAAGTCGGCGGAATAGCGCGAGCTCCAGTGTGGGGAGCAAACCCATTCCAAATAATGATACCGGTGATAATACGATGGGAAAGGATCCAAGTGCCATCAGTATCATGCATGTATGGCACGTGTGTGAACTGCCTTTGGAGTTGCAAAATAAAGTGTCAGCCCCTTCTTGGTTCAGCCTAACTGGTCCTGTAACTCAGATGGTTAGAGCATTGCGCATGACAAGCAAGGTTCTGGGTTCGAGTCCTGGTGGGACTGGGCATTTTCTTCTCTTTTCAGGCAATTCACTTCCCCGACTGATCCTATGAATTTGAAGTTCTCCCTTTCCAAATTATAATAATATTATACATGTACTTCGAGTAATTGAGAAAAAAAGATGCAGGACTCCGGCTGGCTCACCCGTAGGCAGTAGGCAGTTGACTAACCTTTCTTTTGCCAATCCTGTGTTGCCTGATACTGTTGTGACCT